ACGATGAAGGAATTTGCGATTAAGGTTTCTTAAATATGTGGGTCATCTAACTAAAACAACATGTAAAAATACCATATCGATTCAGAATTTTCCGGAAAGGATTTGTACGTTATTTATAGAGACAATTTGATGGTTTCTTTGAAAACTGAGATGGAAAATGACTCATTATCAAATTCTTAAGCAATAATGTAATGATTCGAATCTAATGTTGATTCATAAATCCGCAAAGTTAGTTTGCCAACTTAAAACATACTTTATAAACCCGAAAAGTTAGTTTGCCAACTTAAAACATACTCTGAGAAACGAGCCAACGTAACAAGTTACGTAAAACTTAAAAGACTCTCAGATTAATTATTTTTAGCTTATTTACCGTACATAGCCTCTGACAGTCATAGTCCAACTCCTGGCCTCCACGCGGCGAAACTGGCACTACTGACAGGAGAAGGGGCGAAGGCGAGTCACTGGCGCCTCATAACCAGTTGCCCAGGGTAGATGGGGCTCTTTAGCCGTGGTGAAGGCAACCCATCAAGGGGAGGGAAAACCCTGATTTCAAACCTCCGCTGCATTGCGGCTGTACCTGATCGCAGGAAAGACTTCAGGTGTAAACCTCGAGGTTAAATCCGGAGTGGAGCCCCGAAGGCGAAAGGCAGATGCACAGCACTACCTTCGGCAGCTCTTGCAGTGAAACTGGCCCCAAATTGTAAAGGCTCATCCTTTCCTTTGGACTCAGCCAGCGGAACCGAGAGGGGGACACTAAAGTGTGGGCAACCCAGCGTCTCCATATTAACCCGCCCAGGCCTTCAGCGCAAACTGGAGAGGTCACTCCAGCGGTTTTGCAAGATTCCGGCTCAACACGGCATGAGGCAGTTCACCGGTTCTAAGCTTCTGACCGATTGGCGTAGGTTGGAGCGCCAGGGGACTCATCCGACGGTGGGAGAGGCCCTCGTAGCTTCATTGGGTAGCTACCGCCCGTCTCAAGCTGGGCAGCCCCCAGCCAGTAAGGTGCTGCCTCGCCTTGGCTCGCCTACTCTACTGGGTGCGTAGGGCTTAGGAGACCTCCCCGACAAGCGAGTCACAACTTTGCACCAGGCAGTCACAAAAAGAAAACATTAACGAAGACTCCAGCTCTTCGTATCGCAAGCTGGAACGTTCGCACTATGTGCCCTGGTCTCTCTGTTGATCTTCGACAGATAGACGACTCCCGCAAGACCGCCATCATCAAAAAGGAACTGACACGGCTTAACATCGACGTTGCCTGTCTCCAGGAGACTCGGCTGGCCGACAGCGGCTCTCTTAGAGAATCAGGCTACACCTTCTTTTGGCAAGGCTTGTCCCAGGACGAGCCGAGGCAGCATGGAGTAGGTTTTGCTGTGAGGAACTCGCTGCTCGCCACCACAGAAACGCTGACTGGAGGCAGCGAAAGAATCCTAGTCCTCCGCATGAAGACATCTACAGGGTTTGTCAACTTCCTGTCTGTTTACGCCCCGACCCTCACATCCAGCACAGAGGCCAAAGATCAGTTTTACGAAGCCGTGGAGGAAACAGTGTCCCAAATACCCCGCTCCGAAAGCGTATAACTGCTAGGCGACTTCAACGCACGCGTTGGATCCGAATGGCAAGCATGGCCCGCCTGTCTCGGCCATTTCGGTGTTGGCAAGTTAAACGAGAATGGGCAGAGACTGTTGGAACTCTGATGCCACCATGGCCTCTGCATCACCAACAGCTACTTCAAGTGCAAGGAGCTGCACAAAGTGTCTTGGAGACATTCCCGGTCCCGCCACTGGCACAAGCTCGACCTTGTCATTACTAGGAGAGCAGACCTCAGCAGCGTCCTCCACACGCGAAGCTACCACAGCGCAGACTGTGACACAGACCACTCCCTTGTTGGCAGCAAGATCAGGCTGAAGCCCTGTAAGATCTACCACGCCAAGACAAAGGGCTGCCCCCGCATCAACACCTGCGCTACTGCCGACCCAGCCAAGGCTCAGAGCTTCGTCGAGACCCTTCAGAAAAAGCTTGCGGTGTTTTCCGATGCTAACGCACAACAATGCAGCGTGGGCGGAGTCTCAAAACTTGGAATGATGCTGCAACGTCACATCTTCAAGAGGATCACGGGAGCTTCCCTGGGGGACGTGTGTTACCATGAGTGTACCGCTGACGTCAGATGTCAAAGTTTCAATTACGTTTTCACACAAGAGACTTGTGAATTGAATAACCGTACCAAGGAGGCCAGACCCGAGGATTACGTTCCAAACGTGGAGCGGTATTATTTCAAACGAGATTTGAACAGGGGTAAGTCAAGATCTAGATATAAACTCTCCCCTCTGTCTGCTATAAATTTCTGACAATTTTAGCTCCTAGAATTTTTCAAAACATAACATAACATAACATACATGTTTATTCAAATTCATATATAACTACATGAATTTGAAAGGGAGAGTCAAGAGGTTAACCCTATGAATAAAACTAGCCTAAAAACTACAACAAACAAAAAAACCCGTAAATTTATAGCTTTAAAAAGGATTTAAGTTTACATTTAAAAATTTCTGGGCTATCGGCTTCAACAACATTACTAGGTAAATTATTCCAATGACTAATTACATTGTTAAAAAAAGAATATTTGAAACAGTTAATTCTAGATAATTTACAATAAAGCTTACACGAGTGATTCGCCCTAGTGGATTTGACTCATTTTTAAACCATTAAAACCTCAGTCATTTCTAAGGGACAAGTCATCATATGTGTGGGGAGGGGGGGAGGTGAGGGGTGGTGGGCAACAGAGTGTAACGAGGGGGAAAGCAGAAAACTGACTTCCAATTAACTAACAATTACGGGGAGAGGGGCATAAGAATCTTACAGAGCCTTTCTTCCCTTTTAAGATTAGTCTATTTACTGAAGTTAAATTCATCAACTTGTATCGGTGTGCCGCTATGAATCCAACTAACCAATCACAGTGGAGTACTTGCGTCATGAGGAGAAGGGTAACCCGGGTGACCACATGACCTGAGGAAGACAAGCAGAATGGAGTCTGATGGTCGCCACCCATATTGGTGGAGAATAGATCAATAGAAAAAGCCAAAAAATTAAAAATCTTATCGCTTTTTACCAGTATGAATAACCACAGCCTTTACGGGTCAAAGTAACATTAAGATCAATGCCTAATAATACAATAATACAATTATAGCCACATTAGACATTTTTACAATACATGGGTATTTTCTTGTTTTAGTCCCTCTCGGCTCTATTCCTGAGCTGGCTGCAGAGACTTGTCAAGAAATCAAATTGAGCGAAGGAGGACAAGCGGTCAGCGGCAAATACTGGTTTTCTTCGATTGTGCCCGCAAAGACTGTTCTGGCTCCTTGTGACATGAAAACCGAAGGTGACTGAAATTTTGAATAGTTTCGTAGAATCGATACAAAGCAAAACAATAGCAATCCCGGCTTACTCTGGAGATTCGATCTAAAGTTGCTTTAATGGTCGATTAGAATAGACCCTTACACCATGTCATCTTCAATTTAGTTTACTGCGAGACGCTATCGTCAATAACAGTCATTTTCGATCAATTGCTGTGACAAGTCTATGGAAGACTCATAATTTAGCGGATATGCTCTTTTTCTTTTAAACTATCTCTTTTTTCAGACGTGGACGAATGTAATTCAACAATTCCCGTCTGTGACATCAATGCCAAGTGCGTGAACACCATCAGTTCTCACAGTTGCAAGTGCAAAGCGGGTTTTACTGGAAATGGAAAAAAATGTATCGGTAAGCTATTGCAATGACTTTCACTATTGCCTGAAGAAATTCATTTCAAAACAAAGCAGAACCATAGCAATCTCGATCGGCTCACTCTCAAAATTCCATTTAAAACTACTTGAATGGCCGATTGGAATAGTCCCCCACATCATTTCATCTTCAATTCAGTTTACAGTGAGACGCTTTTACCAATAACAGTCATTTTCGATCGAGCTTTGCTCCTGAGTTCTGGCCATTTACTTTGTTATCCATTCTTTCAGATGTCGACGAATGTACCAAGAATTCACATGA